TCTGTGAAGTCCATTTGGTCCAGTGTGTCATTTAAAGTCTTTATTTTTTGTTTTTTTTTTGCTTAGGTGATCTGTTCATTTCAGTGAGGGGGGTGTTAAAATCCCTTTTTTTTATTATATTGTTGTCGATGTCTTTCTTTGCTTTTGTTATTAATTGGCTTTTTTTTTTGGCTGCTCCCAAGTTAGGGGCATAGATATTTACAATTGTTAGATCTTTTTTTTGGATAGACCTTTTAAGTCGGATATAGTGTCCTTCCTCATCTCTTATTATTTTTTTTGGTTTAAAATCTAATTTGTCTGATATAAGGGTTCCACCCCATCTTTCTTTTTTTGTCCATTAGCATGGTAAATGGTTTTCCACCCCCTCACTTTCAATCTGGAGGTGTCTTTGGGTCTAAAATGAGTCTCTTGCAGGCATCATATCGATGGGTCTTGTTTTTTTATCCAATCTGATACTCTGTGTCTTTTGATTGGGGCATTTAGCCCATTTACATTCAGGGTAACTATTGAAAGATATAAATTTAGTGCCATTGTATTGCCTGGAAGGTGACTGTTACCATATACTGTCTGTGTTCCTTTCTGGTCTATGTTACTTTTAGGCTCTCTCTTTGCTTAGAGGACCCCTTTCAATATTTCTTGTAGGGCTGGTTTCGTGTTTGCAAATTCCTTTAGTTCTTGTTTGTCCTGGAAGCTTTTGATCTCTCCTTCTATTTTCAATGACAGCCTAGCTGGATAGAGTATTCTTGGCTGCATATTTTTCTCATTTAGTGCTCTGAATCTATCATGCCAGTCCTTTCTGGCCTGCCAGGTCTCTGTGGATAGGTCTGTTGCCATTCTAATATTCTACCATTTTAAGGCTACAGATCTCTTGTCCCGAGCTGCTTTCAGGATTTTCTCTTTGTCTCTGAGACTCGTAAGTTTTACTATTAGATGTTGGGGTGTTGACTTATTTTTATTGATTTTGAGGGGGTTCTCTGTGCCTCCTGGATTTTGATGCCTGTTTCCTTCCCCAAATTAGGGAAGTTCTCTGCTATAATTTGCTCCAATATACCTTCTGCCCTTTCTCTCTTTCTTCTTCTTCTGAGATCCCAATTATTCTAATATTGTTTCATCTTATGGTATCACTTATCTCTCGAATTCTGCCCTTGTGATCCAGTAGTTGTTTATCTCTTTTTCTCAGCTTCTTTATTTTCCATCATTTGGTCTTCTGTATCATCAATTCTCTCTTCTGCCTCTTTTATCCTAGCAGTTAGAGCCTCCATGTTTTATTACACCTCATTAATAGCCTTTTTGATTTCAACTTGGTTAGATTTTAGTTCTTTTATTTCTCCAGAAAGGGTTTCTCTAATATCTTCCATACTTTTTTCAAGCCCAGCTAGTAACCTTTATAACTGTCATTCTGAACTCTAGTTCTGACATCTTACTAATGTCCGAATCGATTAGGTCCCTGGCAGTCGGTACTGACTCTTGTTCTTTTTTTTTTTTTTTTTTGAGGTGATTTTTCCCGTCCTGTCATTTTGTCCAGAGGAGACTAGATGGATGAGAGAACAAAAGGCTAACAGGGTAAGAATGACACCAGAAAAATATACACTAAATAAATCAAAAGAGACCTGAAATGGGGGGGAAAAGGAAGGGAAAGAAAGAAAAAAGAAAAAAAAAGGAAAAGAAAAAGATAAAAAAAGGAATATGATCAAATATGATCAGGCCGGTGAATAGATCAGTGCCACACACTAGATTTTGGGCGCATTTTGGTCTCCTAGAAGAAACTGCCTCCCAAAATTTTAAAGAAAGAAAAGCTTATATATGTACAAAAATAAGGGTCAATATGATGAAGGGATGGAACATGACTGTAAAGATGAAAATTATAAAAGATTTTATAAAAGGAAGAGATAAGATAAGAATTTGGCTGAAAAAAGAAAGAAGAGAAATTCAACAAAAGGGAGGGGGGAGAGAATGTGATCAGGCAGGAGACTAGAACAAACGCAAACACTAGAGATTTAGGGTATATTTTGGTCTGTTAGAGGAAACTGTACCCCAAATTTTTCTTTTCTTTTCTTTTTTCTTTTTTAAGATTTTATTTATTTATTTGACATAGCGAGAGACAGCACAAGCAGGATGAGCAGCAGAGGGAGAAGCAGGCTCCGTGCTGAGCAAGGAGCGCAATGCAGGAATCAATCCCAGGACCCTGGGTTCATGACCCGAGCCGAAGGCAGACATTTAACCGACTGAGCCACCCAGGCATCCCTTGTATCCCAAAATTTTAAAGAGAAAACAACTTATATATATATACCAAAATTAAGGTTAACTACTATGAAGAGATAGAATATGACTCTAAAAATGAAAAATAAAAAAGATTCTTAAAACAGGGACTGATAAGATGTTGGTTGAAAAAGGGAAAAAGAAAAATTAAAAAAAAAAAGAAAAAGAAAATTAAAAAAAATTTGAAAGACTAAAGAACCATGGGGAAAAAGCCATTAATTCTATGTGCAGTATTCCCCTAGCGCTGGAGTTCTGCAGTTCTCATTGATCAGTAAACTTGGCCTTGGCTGGCTGTTCTTTCTGATCTTTTGGGGGAGGGGCCTGTTGCTGAGTTTCCCAAATGTCTTTGCTGGCGGCGGAATTGCACCGCCCCTGCTGGGTCCGGGCTAAGTAATCTGTTCGGGTTTGCTCTCAGGAGCTTTTGTTCCCTGCAAGCTCTTGGTACAGCTTTGGAGAAAAGAAACTGCCTCCCAAAATTTTAAAGAAAGAAAAGCTTATATATGTACAAAAATAAGGGTCAATATGATGAAGGGATGGAATATGACTGTAACAATGAAAATTATAAAAGATTTTATAAAAGGAAGTGATAAGATAAGAAGTTGATTGAAAAAAGAAAGAAGAGAAATTTAAAAAAAGGGGGGGGGAGAGAATGTCATCAGGCAGGAGACTAGAAGAAAGGCATACACTAGAGATTTAGGGTATATTTTGGTCTGTTAGAAGAAACTGTATCTCAAAATTTTATTTTATTTTTTTTTAAAGATTTTATTTATTTATTTGACATAGCGAGAGAGAGCACAAGCAGGAAGAGCAGCACAGGGAGAAGCAGGGAGCCCGATGCGGGACTCGATCCCAGTACCCTTGGATCATGACCTGAGCCAAAGGCAGACATTTAACCGACTGAGCCACCCAGGCATCCCCTGTATCCCAAAATTTTAGAGAGAAAACAACTTATATATAGATACCAAAATTAAGGTTAACTACTATGAAGGGATAGAATATGACTCTAAAAATGAAAAATAAAAAAGATTTTTAAAAAAGGGACTGATAAGATGTTGGTTGAAAAAGGGAAAAAGAAAAATTAAAAAAAATAGAAAAAGGAAATTTAAAAAATTTGAAAGACTAAAGAATCATGGAAAAAAGCCATTAATTCTATGTACAGTATTCCCCTAGTGCTGGAGTTCTGCAGTTCTCATTGATCGGTAAACTTGGTCTTGGCTGGCTGTTGTGCTGATCTTCTGGGGGAGGGGCCTGTTGTCGTGGTTCCCAAATGTCTTTGCCGGAGGCAGAATTGCCCCACCCTTGCTGGGTCCGGGCTAAGCAATCTGCTCAGGTTTGCTCTCGGGAGCTTTTGTTCCCTGCAATCTTTTGGTACAGCTTTGGAGGATGAGAGTGAAAATGGCTGCCTCCCAATCTCTGCCCCGGAGGAAACGAGAACTCGGGGCCCTTCTCCTCAGTGCGCCCCCAGAGAAAAGCAGTCAGTCACTCCTGTCTCCCCGGTCTCCGGCCGCACTCCGTGCTCACCCGGCCCGTGACCGAGTGTTTCTATCTCTGGCACAGGACTCCGTGTGGAGTCTCCAAACCCAGCAGATCCCTGCGGTGCGCTCCCGCGCCGCTCCTCCCGGGGGAGGAAAGGGAGTCTTCCCGGATCTGCCGCTTGTTAGGTCCCTGCTGGAGGAGCAGTGGCCCGGCTGTCACCGATCACAGTTTATGGCAACCCCAAGGTGAGAGCCCACGCCTCGGCTCCGCCTCTGCAGCTGGCTTCCCCGCTCTGATACCTGGGAGCTCTGCTGCACTCAGGCACCTCCGGTCTTTCTGTGACCCCGAGGGTCCTGAGATCCCACTGTCCCGCGAGGGTTCCACCCCCCGCTTAGCCACTGGAGCGACGTCCCTCAGCGGAGTCGACTTCTAAAAGTTCCGATTTTGTGCTCCGCGGTTCTATCACTTTCCAGAAGCGGCGGAGGCCCCCTCCCCCGCCATCTATCTTCCCGAATATCGCCTCAGATTCACTTCTCCGCACGTCCTACCTTCCAGTAAGTGGTCGCTTTTCTGTTCAGAGAGTTGTTGCTATTCT